CCCCAACCCCCAAACCCTAAACCCCAAACCCTAAACCCCAAACCCTAAACCCCAAACCCCAAACCCTAAACCCCAAACCCTAAACCCCAACCCCCAAACCCACCCCAACCCCCAAACCCTAAACCCTAAACCCTAAACCCTAAACCCTAAACCCTAGCCTGCCTGCGCCTCCTCGAGCAGCAAGTCCTGATCAACTGCGAGCTTGAAGTTGAGGGTTTCTTGTCGAAAGCGGAGGTTTTCTGTCGGAATAAAACCATCTAAAAAGTGGTTTAAACCCTCGCGAACTGAAAAAGGACTTGTGACCACTCCGTAGGCCCCCGGCCGCCCCCACAAACAACATATGAAGTCCGACAAGTAATCCACCACCGACAAGTCGTGCTCCACCTGCAAAACCCTAAACCCTAAACCCTAAACCCTAAACCCTAAACCCTAAACCCTCAGCCTAAGACGGCGGGAAGGACCCTGGCGAAGTCTGCGGAGCGCGCAGGCTCCGCAGCGCCCACGAGCTGCTTCTCACACCCCAAACCCTAAACCCTAAACCCTAAACCCTAAACCCTAAACCCTAAACCCTAAAAGGGCGTACAACGATGATGTAGTTATCGTTTTGCGCGGTTTCTCGAATGGCTGCTGCTGCATGCAGTCGCTGCTTCACGTCCAAGTAAGAAGAAGGCTCATCGAAGAGAAAAACAGAAGCTTTGCATGCGCATGCAGCCCCAATGCAAAACCTCTGAAGTTCGCCTCCAGACAAGTCCTGCACTTCCCGCTGCAGCAGGTGCTGCAGCTCCAGCTGCTGCTGCAGCAGCGCCGCGCGCCCGCACTCGTCCCGCCGCGCCAGGATCTCCCCCACCACGCCCTTCACCTGCAACAAAACCCTAAACCCTAAACCCTAAACCCTAAACCCTAAACCCTAAACCCTAAACCCTCAGCCGGGGTGAGGGGCGCGCGGCGCGGGGCGCGCGTTCGGGGCTCAGCGGCTGGAACGGGTATTCGGATGCAGTGCTGAACCCTAAACCCTAAACCCTAAACCCTAAACCCTAAACCCTAAACCCTAAACCCTCGAAGTGCGCAGCGGGGAGGGCACGCCCAACGGGAGGAGAGGGTGATGGTGCGCAGAGCAAAAGGGAAGGAAAAACAGCAACAACGCCAACCCTTAACCCTAAACCCTAAACCCTAAACCCTAAACCCTGAGGGTTTGCACCTGTTTGGGGATCAAGTCGACGTATTGGGGTTTGACAACAGCTTTTAAATTCTCTTCAATTATTTTTGTGAAATAATTTTGCAACTCAGACCCTCTGTAAGCCGCAACAATTTCCCGCCACTCCGGAGGGTTTGCGTAGCGACCTGCAACAAAACCCTAAACCCTAAACCCTAAACCCTAAACCCTAAACCCTAAACCCTAAACCCTGAACCGTAAAAGGCGAGCCTCGTGCCCAGAAGTGACTCGTCAACGCCCACAAACCCCAACCCTAAACCCTAAACCCTAAACCCTAAACCCCAAACCCTAAACCCTAAACCCTAAACCCTAAACCCTACCTAAGTTGGGTTTGAGTTTGGCCGAGAGGATCTTCAGGGCCGTCGATTTTCCAGTGCCGTTTGTGCCCACAAGTCCCAACACCTGAAAGCCAATTAAATTAAATTAAATTAAATTAAATTAAATTAAATTAAATTAAATTAAATTGATTTAATTAATTTAATTCAATTAATTTAATTTAATTAATTTGATTTAATTAATTTGATTTAATTTAAATAAATAAATAAATCCAATTAATTCAAATTAATTAATTAAATAAATTTAATTAATTTGGTTTGATTGATTTGCCAAGTGCGTCATTTGGAACAAAAGGCAAAGTTGAAAAGCAAAAAATAAAAAATAAAAAATAAAAAATAAAAAATAAAAAATAAAAAAAAATAAAAAAGAATTAAAAGAGACGAAAAGAAAGGAAAGAAGAAGCAAAAGAATGAAAACAAAAGAAGAAAAAGGGAGAAAAAAGAGGCAAAAAGAAGAAAGAAGGCAAGCGGGAAACCCTAAACCCTAAACCCTAAAAGAGCGTATAAGGGCTTCCCGGGGTGCCCCGGGGCTGCAAAGCCGGCGCAAAAGAGGGGCCCGAATCCTCCTGAGCCCCCCCACCAAACCCCAAAAGAGGGTTTACCAAACCCCAAAAGAGGGTTTACCAAACCCCAAAAGAGGGTTTACCAAACCCCAAAAGAGCGGACAAAAACCCCAAAAAAGCGGCTAAAAAGCCTAAAAGAGCGGCTAACCCCCCCAAAAGAGGGTTTACGAACCCCCAAAAGAGCGGCTAGAAACCCTAAAAGAGGGTTTCCAAACCCCAAAAAAGGGTTTGCAAACCCCAAAAGAGCGGTTAGCGTACCTGGCCGGGGCGGGGCACTGGGAGTCTGTGGAGTTTGAACTGGTTGGGCCCGTAGCGGTGGACCACTTCAGCCCCCAAATCTCGCGGCAAATTAATTATTTGAATTGCTCCAAAAGGACATTTTTTGACGCAAATTCCGCAGCCTATGCAAAGCGGTTCGGAGATGAAAGCCACTTTGCTGCTGCTCTCCACTTCGATGCAAAATTTGCCTGAAAAACCACGCAAAAAGACCCCAAACTCGACCCCCTGCTGCTGCTGCTGCTGCTGCTGCTGCTGGTGGGTGCGCAGAAGAACTGAAACTCCTGCTGCTGCTGCTGCTGCTGCTGCTGCTGCTGCTGCTGCTGCTGCTGCTGGAGAGACCTGTTCGGACGACGGGGCAGCTCTTTTTGCATTCTTGGCGGCACTTTTTGGGTTTGCATTTATCGCCATTCACAATTGCAATCCGCAGCCGACTGGGGTCTTCGTGGCCCTGCTGCTGCTTCTTCCCGGGAGCCATTGCTGCTGCTGCTGCTGCTGCTGCTGCTGCTGCTGCTGCTGCTGCTGTGGGTGCTGCTGCTGCTGCTGCTGCTGTGGGTGCTGCTGCTGCTGCTGGTGGTGGTGGTGGTGGTGTGGCTGCGGGGCTGCTGCTGCGGGGGGGAGGAGGTGACGCGGCGGGAGGGCTCTGCGGCTGCAGCAGCAGCGGGTGCTGCTGCTGCTGCTGCTGCTGCTGCTGCAGCTGCTGCTGCTGCTGCGGGGGCTGCTGCAGCGGGGCGGTGGGGAGTAGAGACACCCCGCGGGGAGGGGCAGCAGCAAATCCTTTCTTCGGGAATTTAAAAAGAGACAAATGGAATAAAACGGAGAGCAAGAACATAAAACGGCTGCCGCGCCTCGCAGCAGCAGCAGCACTAGCAGCAGCAGCAGCAGCAGCAGCAGCAGCAGAGGGGTGTGGGGCCCGAATGAAGCACTCTGGAGAAGTTGAGCAGCAAAAAGCAAAAGATTTCCCAACGAGCTGCTGCGGGGCCTCGCTGCTGCTGCTCTGCTGCTGCTGCTGCAGCGGGGAGGGGGATCGGCTGCTGCTGCTGCGGAAGCAAAGAAGCAAATTGTTTGTTTTTTGTTTTTAAAAGTATTTTAATTCCCTTTAAAGTCCTCGGAGCTTTTAAAGGCTGCAGCAGCAGCGAATGTGGGGCAGCAGCAGCGGCGGCCGGGGCTGTGGCTCCGCGCCGCGGGGGCCCCGGGGCGTCAGTGGGCTCCCCGGGCCTCCAAATGGACTTCCAACCCTCAAATGGACTTATTTTCGAATTCCTTTTCCAATTTCCTCTTTTTTAAGTCCCTTTTGGGGCCTTTAGCGCTTCAAAGAAGCCGCGAACGGCGGCGGCGCGCGGCCGCGCGGTGTACAGACACCCCAGCAGCTGCCGACGCGAGTTCCGGTTTGCTGCGCTTCCGGTGTACAGACAGCCCGCAACTGCCGCCTTATTTCCCCTTTTCGAACTTTAATTTCATTTAAAACTTCTTTTCCGCTTTTTGCTGCCTCTGGCGCCGCCTCCGGTGTACGTACACCCCAATGCTGCGCAGCAGCAGCGCCCCCAGCAGCAGCAGACACCCGAGAAGCAGCAGCACAGAGCCCAGCCTGAGGTTTATAGTTCGCTATGTAGTTCGGGACTCCCCGAGGATTCTTGTTCAGCAGCAGCAGCAGCAGCTGCTGCTGCAGCAGCAGCTGCAGCTGCAGCAGCAGCAGCAGCTGCTGCTGCTGCAGCAGCAGCGGGAGGCGCGCAGCAGCGGCGCTGCAGTCGCACTTATCAAAGATGTGCATGCGCAGCGGCACTCAGCAGCAGCAGGGCTGCAGCTGGTGCTGCTGGGGCCGCAGCAGCAGCAGCAAGCCCTCAACAACCAGCCCCTGTTTGCTTACTTGTCCAGCAGCAGCAGCAGCAGCAGCAGCAGCAGCAGCAGCAGCAGCAGCAGCAGTTTGGGGCTCGTGTACTATGGGGTTGAGGCTTTAGAGCGAGCAGCAGCGCGGGCGCGGGCGTCCGCAGAGGAAGCAGCAGCAGCAGCGTCTGCTGCTGCTGCTGCTGTTGCTGCTGCTGCTGCTGCAGCGCAAGCAGCAACAGTTGCTGCGGGACTCGCAGCAGGTGCAGCAGCAGCAGCAGCAGCACAGAGTCAGCTGCTGAGCAGCTTATTAGCTGCAGCAGGAGCAGCAGCAGGAAGTGAGGTGTCTGGACACCCCGAAGCTGCTGCTGCTGCTGCTCCTTTGTAATTGCAGAATTGTAAATATTAACTTGTCACTTTTGTTTGTTATTTATTTATTTATTTATTTATTTATTATTTATTTATTTATTTATTTATTTTTTATTATTTTACTTTTTAAAACAAAACAATTCCTTTTTGAAGAAGTGCAAATTGTCAACTGGGGCCCCACATTTGTTTTTATTTTATTTATTTTTATTATTTTAATTTATTTGCATTATTTAGTTCATTTAGTTATTTGCTTCCTTTGCTTTTGAACTGCAGCAGCAGCAGCAAAGATACAGCTGCAGGAAGCAGCACGGAGTAGAGAAGGTCGCAGCATTTAATTTAATAAAACAAATAAAACAGAATATAAAAAAATAAAAAATAAAACAGAATATAAATAAAAAGAAATAAAAATAAAACATAATATAAATAAAAAGAAATAAAAATAAAAAGAAATAAATAAATAAAAACAAATAAATAAAAGAAATAAAATAAAATAGAAGCCAACAAAGAAAATGAATTATTGTTTATTTAGAGCTTTAATGCAAATGGAAACAAATGAACTATAAAGAAACAAATAAAACGAAATGCAGATAAATAAAATAAAATAAAATAAAATAAAATAAATAAAATAAAAGAAATAAATAAAATAATATAAAGGAGAAGCCAACAAATAAAAGCGAATTAAATTCTTATTTAGAGCTTTAGCATAAATAAAAGCAAAAATAAAAAAACAAATAGAATAAAATAAAACAAAAGAAATAAATAAAATAAACATAAAGTAGAAGCCAACAAATAAAAATAAATTATTTTTTAGTTCGACTTTTAATATAAACAGAAACAAATAAAAGAAACAAATAAAATAAAAGAAATAAATAAAATAAATACATCTGGGAAATAAACAAATAAAAGTGAATTACAGTATTACTAGAGCTTTAACATAAAAGAAATAAAAGAAACAAATAAAATAAAATAGAATAAAATAGAATAAAGAAATAAATATAATAAAATAAAACAAAATAAAATAAAATAAAATAAAATAAAGAAATCCACAAAATAAATTGGAAATCAACAAATAAAAATTATTTTTTTTTTGGAGTTTTTCTGTCCGGCGAAATTCTGTTCGAATTTCCCCACTCGCCCAAATATCATTTATTCATCTTATTTGTTCTATTTAATTCTATTTATTTATTTATTTATTTATTATTATTTATTTATTTACTTATTTATTTTATTTATTGTTTATTTAGTTATTTATTTATTTACTTGGACTCTAATTGCAAACTCCGAAGAAAGCCAACCACCAAGTGTACGTACACCCGAAACACAAGAGCGAACAGCAGCAGCAGCAGCAACAGCAGCAGCAGCAACAGCAGCAGCAGCAACAGCAGCAGCAGCAACAACAGCAGCAGCAGCAGCAACAGCAGCAGCAGCAGCAAATGATTTTAATTTGCAGAAAATGGAAAGTGGAGAATGGGTGTTGCTGAGTTGCGGTGTACGTACACCTGGAGGTTTTGGCGGGCGTTGCAGCTTTGGAAATGAAAAGTGGAAAAGAATTCATTTTTGTGGATTTTGAAGAAAAGTTTGTTTAATATTTGTTTTAATTTTAATTTTAATTTTAATTTTGTTTTTTATTTTAATTTTAATTCCAGTTTTGCTCCATTTGATGGCTTTTTAGTCAACTTTGCTTCTTTGCACTCCCTAGGAAACACCAAATAAGTAAATAAATAAACAAATAAATAAATAAATAAATAAATAAATAAATAAGTAAATAAATAAATAAATAAATAAATAATAAATAATAAATAAATAAATAAATAAATAAACAATTACAAGAAGTCATTTATGCAAATAAAATCTTCAATTCGAATAACGGAAAAGCTGCAAAGCTAATTTTCGCTGCACTTGCCCCGCTGCAGCAGCAGCGCTCATTTTGCTGCTGCTGCTGCTGCTGCTGCGGGCGCTGCTGCTGCTGCTGCTGCTGCTGCTGCTGCTGCTGCTGGTGCTGCTGCTGCTGCTGCTGCTGGTGCTGCTGCTGCTGCTGCTGCTGCTGCCATTTGCACTCTTATTTCGTCGAGATAAGAAATAAAGGCGAAGGCCGAAGCCTCTGCTGTAAAGGGCTGTTTGTAAAGAAAGCGCGAAGCCAAAAAAGTGGTGAAGATGGCCCGCTGGTAAGTCTCCGGCACCCTGCAAAACCCTAAACCCTAAACCCTAAACCCTAAACCCTAAACCCTAGCTTTAAACCCTAGGCCCTTGAACCCTAAGAGCAGGAAGCCCTGGGCAGTGAACGCTGGCTCTCCTCCACGCCCAGTGGTTGAGTCCACCCCGGCAAGCATCTCAAACCCTAAACCCTAAACCCTAAACCCTAAACCCTAAACCCTCGAGAACTCCCCAGAAGTTCGTTTTTCGTGTTTTTAAAACTAGCTCTTCTGAAACCAATCCCCGTCCCCTCAAGAATTGATCTACTGTTCATTTAATTCATTTAAATCCATTTAATTATTTAATTTAATTATTTAAATTAATTATTTAATTTAATTTAACTTTTTTTATTTTGTTTTTCACCTCTGGCGAAATGTCTCCACACTTATCAGCCCCGGCACCAAAACGTCCGGAATGGATTTCGTCAAAACGAAATTCACAAGTGCCTAAAAAGAAGTAAATAAAATAAAAATAAATAAATAAATAAATAAATAAATAATAAATGAATAAATAAATAAATAAATAAATAAATAAATGAGTAAATAAATAGATTAATTAATTAATTATTTATTTATTTATCGTGCAAATTCGAAATTTCGATTTATTCTTCTTAGTTTGCATTTAATTGATTAATTTAATTTAATTTTATAAATCTCTTTGACTGAGTTGAATTAATTATTTAATCTGAATTAAATGAAATTAATTAAATTAAATTAATTAATTTAATTGAATCAGTTTAATTAATTAAATTAAATTAAATTAAATTAAATTAATTAATTCACCTCATCTTTCCAAAGAGCACTGGAGCCCGCCATGTCAGTTTTTAGTTGATTTATTTTTTGAGACAAAATGTCCGTCAAGTCGCACTTGTGCATCCCTGCAGCAGCAGCAGCAGCAGCAACAGCAGCAGCAGCAGCAGCAGCAGTAACAGCAGCAGCAGCAGTAACAGCAGCAGCAGCAGCAGCAGCAGTAACAGCAGCAGGAGCGCAGCAGTAGTAGTAGTTGGTGAGCAGCAGCAACAGCAGCAGTTAGTGGCGGGAGCAGCAGCAGCAACAACAGTTACTAGCGGGAGCAGCAGCAGCAGCAACAGCAGCAGCAGCAGCAACAGCAACAGCAGCAGCAGCAGCAGCTGCTGCTGCTGCTGCATTTGAAATGTGAAAACTGCAACTACGAATCAGTCCTCGGCAACAAAACCCAATGAAATGAAACAAACTCACCAATAAACAAATAAATAAATAAATAATAAGCAAATAATAAATAAATAAGCAAATAAACAAAATAAATTAAATAAATAAATGAGTAAAATTAATATAATAAATAAAAATAATATTCCACCGGTTCTTTCTTCTTCGCTCCAAATGGCTAGATGAAATGAAACAAATAACCAAATAAACAAACAACCAACCAAACAAACAACCAAACAATAAACAGATAAATAAATAATAAATAAATAAATAAATAAATAAATAAATAAATAAACAAATAAATAAATAAATTAATTAATTAATTAATTAAATTAAATAAATAAATAAATCCACCAGTTCTTTCTGCTTCGCTCCAAATGGGCAGATGAAATCAAACAAACTCACCAAACAGACAATAAATAGATAAATAAATAAATAAATAATAAATAAAAAGATAAATAAATAAATAAATAAATAAATAAATAAACAAACAAATAAATAAATAAATTAATTAATTAATTAAATAAAATAAATAAATAAATTCCACCAGTTCTTTCTGCTTCGCTCCAAATGGGCAGATGAAATGAAACAAACTCACCAACAACCAACCAACCAACAAACAAACAAACGAACAATAAATAAATAAATAAATAAATAAATAAATAAATAAATAAATAAATAAATAATAAATTAATTAATTAATTAATTAATTAAATTAAATTAAATTAAAATAAATAAATAAATAAATTCCACCAGTTCTTTCTGCTTCGCTCCAAATGGCTTCGAATTCGAGTTTGGCGTTTTCGCGAATTCTTTGCAAAATGGCTTCGACGTATTCTTTGTAAAACTTGGGCGGGTTGTTCGGATCTTTGACCTGAAAAGGCCAAAAAGAGGACTTTTAATGCAAAAAAACAAATAAAAAAACAAATTATGAATAATAAATGAATAATAAATGAATTATAAATCATAAATGAGCAAAATTAGAAGAAAAAAGAAACTTTTCCGGGGAATTTCCGCGGGAATTCGAGCTGAAGGCGGAAGTTCCGGCTGCGGAAACCCAGTCGATTTCGACGGAAAGCGAACGAAAAAGCCCCAAAAAGTTCATTTTAATTCTTAATTTCGAATTAATTTGAAATTAATTTCAAATTAATTTCAAATTAATTCCAAATTAAATCATTTAGAGAACCATTTGAAGCTCAAAATCAAAAAAAAGCGGAAAGTCCGAAAGAGGAACCCGCGGCGGATGCTGCGGGGTTTCAACGCGATCTTCGAATTTCCCCCCTTTCTGCTCCAAATTCATTCCAATTTATTCCAATTTATTCAAATTAATTCCAATTTATTGAAATTTATTCCAATTTATTGAAATTTATTCCAATTTATTTCCAAATTCATTCAAATTTATTCCAATTTATTCAAATTCATTCCAATTTATTTCCAAATGCATTCCAATTTATTCCAATTTATTTCCAAATTCATTCAAATTTATTCCAATTTATTCAAATTTATTCAAATTTATTCCAATTTATTCAAATTTGTTCAAATTTATTTCCAAATTCATTCAAATTTATTCAAATTTATTCCAATTTATTCCAATTTATTCCAATTTATTCCAATTTATGCTTTTTTCGGAGTTTCCCGGCGACTTTCCCGCGAAGTTTGGCTCGCTTGGCGTTCAAGTTTGAATTTTCAGAACTTCGCCGTTTTTCGGCGTTTGAAGGCGCAACTGCGGAATTAAAGGATTATTTTTTGCTAAAGTTTGCAGAAACGGAAGAAGAGTTCAAAAAGAGTTCAAAAAGAGTTCAAAAAGAGTTCAAAAACACTCAAAAAGAGTTCAAAAAGATCCAAAAAGAGTCCAAAAAGATCCAAAAAAGTCCAAAATTCAAAAAATAATGCAGTTTGAACTCTCACTCGCATGTGGCGGTCGAACTCCTCTTCAGTCAGCGAAAGCGCCGCCAAGACCTCCATGCTGCTGCTCGTGACTCCGCCCTTGTTGGTGGAAGCTGAAGACAAAAACGGAACTTTTCCAGATTTAAATGAAATTAATTCAAATTAAATCAAAATAATTCAATTAAAATTCAAAATAATTCAATTATAATTCAAAATAATTCAAAATAGTTCAAATTTAGTTCAAATTGGATTCAAATTGGATTCAAATTGGATTCAAATTGGATTCAAACTGGGTTCAAAATAATTCAGAATAATTCAAAATAATTCAAAATAATTCAAAATAATTCAATTTTAATTCAAAATAATTCAAAATAATTCAATTATAATTCAAAATAATTCAAAACAATTCAATTATAATTCAAAATAATTCAAATTTAATTCAAAATAATTCAAAATAATTCAAATTTAGTTCAAATTGGATTCAAAATGCTTCAAATTTGACTCCCTTCGGCCACTTCGAACTCCAAAATGCCCCACAAGCAAAAATGAAATAATAAAAGTAGAATTAAAAAATAACAAAAGAATTAATAAAAGAACTAATAAAAGAATAAAAGAATTAATAAAAGAATAAAAGGAGAATTAAAAAAGAATAAAAGAAATAATAAAAGAATAAAAGGAGAATAAAGAAATAATAAAAGGAGAATAAAAAAAGAGTAAAAGAAATAATAAAAGAATAGAATAAGAGGATAATAAAGAAAGAATAAAATAAAAGGAGAATGAAGAAATAATAAAAGAATAAAAAGATTGAAAAAGAACAAAAAGAAAGCAAAAAAAGAATAAACAGAACAACGAGAATAAAAAGAACACCGCGAACAAAAAGAGGAATAAAAAGATCAAAAAAGATCAAAAAAGATCAAAAAAGATCAAAAAAGATCAAAAAAAGACCAAAAAAAGACCAAAAAAAGACCCAAAAGATGAAAAAGACCAAAAAAGATGAAAAAGAGATCAAAAAAAGACCAAAAAAGACCAAAAAAGGACCAAAAAGAGACAAAAAAGTGAAAAAAAGACCGAAAAATCCCCAAAAAGACGAAAAAAAGCCAAAAAGTGGTCCAAAAAGCCCCCAAAAGAACAAAAAAAGAACAAAAAGACGAAAAAAGATCAAAAAAGAACAAAAAAAGGACAAAAAAGATCAAAAAAAAGATCAAAAAAGACCAAAAAAGAAAAGAGACTTTCCGTCTTTGAAGAGAATGACTCCGCGGTTTTCGAGTTCCCTCCTGGCCTCGTCGGTGATGAAAACGTTGGCGCCTTCGACAATAAATTTGAACTTCGGAATTCCAGTTTGCTGCTCGAAAAGTTTTTCGACGTTTTGGGGATTTATGGAGGCCGGCCGGCCCCCGCAGGGGTTGAACAAGTCGCAAACTGCAAACTCCGACAAGTGAAAGTTGTTCCGAAACTCTATCCCGCTCGCCACGTAAGTCCCGTCCGGCAGCCTGCAGCAGCAGCAGCAGCAGCAGCAGCAGCAGCAGCAGCAGCAGCAGCAGCGGTGGCAGCGGTGGTGGTGGCGGAAGCGGAGGCGTCGTGGTCGTGGCAGCAGCAGCAGCAGCAGTTTCGTGCGTGTAGTTGCAGCAGCAGCAGCAGCAGCAGCAGCGCAGTATTCGTGAGTTTGAGGGACACAGCAATACAAGTAAGAGCAGCAGCAGCAGCAGCAGCAACAGACACGCTGCTGCTGCTGCTGCTGCTGCTGCTGCTGCTGCTGCTGCTGCAGGCCTCACGTGATATCCCTGGCGTCTTGGGGAACTTTGAAACCTTTGGGAGACAAAAGAGAAGAGTCGAAAAGCATTGAAGAAGTTTTTTCTCCTTTAAATCGCAAACTGGCCAACCGCCGCAGCTCTTCGGCGTTGAGTCCTGCGCGCAGTTCTCAGGTGTACGTACACCGCAACTCGCGCGCCGCCCGCCCCGATCTTCCGTTTTTCGGCCATTTTAATTAATTTTTGCGATTAATTGACTTTTAAATGAATTCTATTTTAAATTTGGAGTTCAAAGATGTCCAAATTATTCAATTTGGTGCCGAAATCGACCAGTTTCGCGAACTGTTCAAGTTGGATCCACTTTTTGCTTTTGAACGAACTTGAATTCGCAATCGCACTTCACCCCAAACTCAATTAAAAACCCCAAACTCCACTCAATTAAAAACAAACTTTTATTTTTATTTTTTGAAATAAAAAACAAAATAAATTTCAAATGCATTAATGGCAAAACCCGAAAACACAAACACCAAACAGCAGCAGCAGCAGCAGCAGCAGCAGCAGCAGCAGAAGTGTTCGGAGGCGCAGCGGGTTGGCAGCGAGGGTTTAGGGTTTAGGGTTTAGGGTTTAGGGTTTAGGGTTTAGGGTTTAGGGTTTGCAAACCCTCGGGGTCGTAGACGACTCCAGCTCCATCCACCACGGCGAGGGTTTTGGACTTAGTCTGCAGCAAAGCGTTTGAGCCCAAGTCCCCATCGGGGCCTCCAGTTTGAATGCGAGTGACTTCTCTTTCATCTAATCCCAACTTCTCGTAAATCCCTGAACGCAACAGCACTTGCTGCTGCTGCTGCTGCTGCTGCTGCTGCTGCTGCTGCTGCTGCTGCTGCGGCTGCTGCGGGGGCGGGGCGGGGCGGCAGCAGCAGCTGCTGCTGCTGCGAGATGGCGGGGCTGCAACGCGCGCTTACTGCTACCTGCCCCTTCCACTGCCTAGCTGCTGCCTAGCTGCTGCTGCTGCTGCTGCTGCTGCTGCCTAGCTGCTGCTGCTGCTGCTGCCTAGCTGCTGCTGCTGCTGCCTAGTTGCTGCTGCTGCTGCTGCGGCTGCTGCAGTCGCGTTTGGCTGCTACTGCTGCTCTACGTGTCGGATTTTTCTGGCGTTTGCTGCGTCTGGCTCGCAGCAGCCGTCTGCAGCGCCCCCGCCGCCGCTGCTGCTGCTGCTGCTGCTGCTGCTGCTGCTGCTGCTGCTGCTGCTGCTTGCCTCGCACGTAAGTCTCCACACTCGCTGTGGTCATTCCAAACACGTCGTGGGGAATGCCTCCGTTCTGCGGCCGCTTGCCAGTCGTGAAGGCTTTCCAAAACCAGGCGCCTCTTTCGCGGGCCCTTTCCGCGGCCCAGTCGGGGAGGCCCCCAGTTGCTGCAGCAGCAGCAGCAGCAGCAGCAGCAGCAGCAGCAGCAGCAATGCACGCAGCTCGCTGCTGCATGCAGCAGCTTTGCTGCATGCAGCAGCAGCAAAAACCAGGCGAATCCGATCTATATTCGCCGAGTTATCGCACTTTCCAAAACCCTTCTAAACCCTTTTAAACCCTTTTAAACCCTTTTAAACCCTTTTAAACCCTTTTAAACCCTTCTAAACCCTTCTAAACCCTCCTAAACCCTTTTAAACCCTTTTAAACCCTTTTAAACCCTTTTAAACCCTTCTAGGCCATTTGAAACCCTCGAAGACCATGTTAAACCCTTTTAAACCCTTTTAAACCCTTTTAAACCCTTTTAAACACTTGTAAACCCTTTTAAACCCTAACAAACCCTTTTGAACACTTTTAAACCCTTTTAAACCCTTTTGAACCCTTCTAAACCCTGTTAAACCTTTTTAAACCCTTTTAAACCCTTTTAAACCCTTCTAAACCCTTTTAAACCCTTTTAAACCCTTTTAAACCCCTTTAGGATTCTTTTGAACCCTTCGGATAACTTTCAAACCCTCGTAAACCCTCCCTGATCCTTTAAACCCCCTTAAACGCGTTTAAACCCTCATAAACCCTTCTAAACCCTTTTCAAACCCTTCTAAACCCTCTTCAAACCCTTCTAAACCCTTTCTAAACCCTCCTAAACCCTTCAAACCCTCCTACGCCCTCCTAAACCCTCCAAAACCCTCATTTTGTTTCAAATTTGAATTAAATTTGCATTAAAATGATTTAAAAAGATTTAAAATGACTCAAAAAGATTTAGAGTGATTTAAAATGATTTAAAATGATTTAAAATGATTTGAAGTGATTTAAGATGATTTAGAATGATTTAGAATGATTTAAAATGATTTAAAGTGAATTAAAATGATTTAAAGTGATTTAAAAAGATTTAAAGTGATTTAAAACGATTTAAAGTGATTAAAAGTGATTTAAAATGATTTGAAATGATTAAAAGTGACTTAAAATGATCTAAAATGGTTTAAAATGATCTAAAATGTTTAAAATAATTAAAAATGTTTCGAAAAGAAATCACCTGTGTTTTCGTCTGGCCCCAAAAAGCAAACCTCCGGAATTCCCAAGCGATCCACCACGTCGTGGTGCGGCAGCAGCAAGTCCAACATGCTGCACAAACCCTAAACCCTAAACCCTAAACCCTAAACCCCAAACCCTAAACCCCAAACCCTAAACCCTAGCGCCTCCAAATCCTAGCGCCTCTAAACCCCAGCGCCTGCAGTAAACCCTCGCTGAAGCCCCCCCCCCCAACC